ATTTTGTAATTTAAAATTGGCCACGTTACCCACCTCATACTATATCAGCACCAAGCCGTTCCTTGGTAACGGAGTAACAAGGATGTGGACGGAAGGATGACACTTGATGAGGTCATCGTCAGCAGAAGGGTTGATTTGCGGGTTTTGTCAAGTAGAGGGGTTGATTTGCACTAATTTTAAGTATAGGGGCTGATATGCCAAAATAATGGAAGTATGGGTCTGAATTGCACCTTCTGCCTTTTTGAAAATAAAAGAAACCCTGTGTTTGTTTTTTTTTTTTTTTTTTTTTTTTTCTTCACTTCAAAGCTTTTGCATCTTTTATTTTCGTTTTTGTTTTTTTGGTTTTTTGGGAAAAGGCTCAGGCTTTCGCTTGTTGGTTGCAAGTCGACGCAAACACTGATACACAGAGAAACATGATTCGAAACTCTCGAAGTAGATCGCTGCGATTTCTACTATTATTCTCTTCGATTTCTTTGCATTTCGTTTCAGGTTCTTTCTTTGATTCAAAATCTCGAAACTTTCAATCGATTGTGTGTAATTCGAGTATATTTTCGTGGATTTTCTTGAAGCTTTTTTTGTTGTTGGAGATCGTTAGCTTTATGAGCAAATTCATGCGAATCTCGGTTTTATTTGATTAATTTCTGAAATATATTACACATCTTACAGTTTGTTAGCTGGTAGCTTCTGATTAGGTAATTACTCTCTGTTTGGTTGCTGAGAAAGTTAGCATCTTGATAGTCTGTTTCATTTTTTTTTTTTCTTGTTTATTTGTATTTTTTTTTTTTAAGTCAAGATATAGAGCTTGGAACCTGGGTTTAACTATAATTGCCTTGTATTATTTGCAAAATCAATGTGCCATTCTGGCTAAATAGATAAACTTGGACCTTTTAGAGATTTATGACTCAAGAACTGTAACTGTTTTTGATTAGGTGAAAAGGGTTTTGTAGAATTCAGCTTGATTTATGACATGCTTCAGTTCAATGAAAAATGTAGCATTTTTTTGCTGAATGTAGAATATTTATAGTTTTCCTCCCTTTTTCATGTTTCCAGGTTTTTCCAATGACTCTGGAAGTTCGAAGAATGATGCAAAAACCAAGTCTAATGTTACTTCCAGTAGTGGAACTGGATCCAAGGTAGTCATCATATTACTTGGGATTGTTGCGATAGGGTTGTTTTCATTTTATCTCTTCAAGTTGTGGCAAAAAAAGAAACGAGAAGAACAGTATGCTCGTCTTTTAAAGTTGTTTGAACAAGATGATGAGCTCGAGGTTGAACTTGGCCTAAAGGACTGAAACAATATGTATCATTGGCATCATTGTTCAGGTGTGTGAACTTTGTCATCCATTTTTACCCTCTTATTGCTTCACGGCTGTATTTGTAATAGAATTCTGCATGCATATCTTGTTTCTTGGCAACACCAACTCCTTGTTATGTTTTAAACTTAGCAACTGTGAGAATCAAAGTTAAATATATTAAGCTCCTATCAAATGTACCATAAGATGAATCCCTATGGCATAATAATCAAATTGAAGTGGATCTCGAATCTAGGTATTGCTTGCAGTTGTCGGTTCACTTTGCAGCTAAGATTACTTTTCAATGTAATTCTTTCTTTGGAAGAGCAGAAGTCTCATTCTGTTTCTTTAAGTTTATGGGACTGAGGGTTGTTATTATGGGGAAATGAGAATCCAGCCAAGAGTAGTAGTCCTGCCTAAGAATAGAACCAAGAGTAGTAGCAATCAAGGCATTGTATTCTTGACACTTCATACTCATTTCTTATAATATTAGAACACCTCCTACTGAATGAATTGATGCATTGCTCACTTGAGGATATTGCCTTCATTTCTGATCTTGTGCTTGTGCAAATAATCACAAGAGACTAACTTGATCTATTTAAATGATTGTTATCAGGATGATATGCATTCATATTTTTGCGCTTCAGTCTGTCTGTTGCTCATTTGGCTAGCTGCTGACAGTTTCATGCTCTGGTGATATCATTTTTGCTAAGACAGCCTTTTTTTGGACATGTTTGCTAGGTGGACGGAAATAGGATGCTTGGAATACCCTATCGTAGGATCAGATATTTTTCTAAAGTTGGAGTATCTTGTAATGACATGTTCAAATGAAATTGCATAAATTTAAATTTTGTGTCTACTTAGAGTGGAGAAGGATACAATTTAATAGTTGTTTGGAGTTGTTAATTCATGTTTGTAAAATGTAAAGAATATGGATATGTTGAATCCATTTCTGACATGTTCGTGCTGAATTATGTAATCAGCATTCAATCACAAAGAAAAATATCAACAATACGCCACCATGGACTGCACCTCCATCAATTCACCCCAAAAAAGATCATTTCTTTTTTTTTTTGAGCGAAGAAAGTGGGACTTTATTATTGCTTGACATCTGAAAATGGAGCAAGATGAATATTAAGTATTACTGAACCGATTATGTTACAAATAGGATGATATTAAACAGGATATTCAAAATAACATTATTTGGTCAAATTACAATACAATCTGTAATCTGTTCTTTCATATATATATATATGCATGTAATAGGAATAGGACTGTCAGCTGCGAAGAGTCTTCAGCTACCATCAGAGGCTACACGGTGCAGAACCGGGAAGGACACGGCTAAAAACAGTTGAGGAATGAATTACTTTTAACAAACGGCCAAGCTAGAAACTCATGTCTAATTAAACAATGTGTGAAAGAATAGGTATGATGAAGCAGTATAACCAACTCTTCCTGAAACAGCCCCCAGTGTTAATGCATGATGATTCCAATCAACACTTCAACCAATCAGTTGGTTGTGATCCAGAAATAAAACCATGATTTGGTATTAATGTGAAGGGGTTATTTTCCTGTCTTGGCACGTTTCATCCCCGCGCTGTTAAAAGGAGACATGCTAGGACTCATACCAGGACTCATACTTGGACTCTCATCCCTTAGAGTACCATTTATCATAGCCAATTCCCTCAGTTGTTGTTTCTTATAATGATCCAAGGATTCATCCTGCAAACAAGAGATTGGGAGAGGATTAGATCAAATTTGGAGAAAATGAAATGTAAAACCAAACATCTACATTAGTTTTGTTCCTACCACAGGCTTTAAAAGGTTTTCTAGTATCGCCACTGCATGATCCAGGCGGGCATTTATTATATCCTCTGGAAATTCAGCCTCTAATAACACATGCAAGGGCTCATTAAGGTGTTCATATCCTGGTTTACCCTTTAGTTTCTCTTCCTACACAAAAAGTCAGCCATCCACAGTGAGATTCAATGAAGTATGATTATTGTTCACAAGCAAAACACAATTCTCAAAAAAAGAATGGCTTCAAAGTAGAATCCAATGCACTTGAACCAGAGTTAGAAATTCAAAAATGATTTCCCCAACAAACAATACATTGACGTGGTACTGAATCAAACTATCAAAGGGAAATAAAAACTAATATGATTAAGAACTTAATGAAAATGTTTGATGGAAAAACAAGGGTGAATGACATAAACAGAAGTTTAGCAATACACTTCAATAGCTCTTACAAACGTTTAGAACTTAATGAAAATGTTGATCATACCTTTACAGAATCCTTTACAGAACCCTTGCCTCTTATGTACACCCTACACTCGGTTGCAGCTTCAACTCGTTTCAAGGAGTTTCCACGTGGTCCCAGAATTCGGCCAACAAAATTATACTGTCAAGCTTTTGAGTTAAGAAGTGTTATTTTAAAAAGAGTCAAAATATACTCCAGAATAAGAGAACTTACATCCGGATATTTATGCACGGGGACATCAAGCCTAAGAACTCTCTTTACAATAGGTGTTGTAGGAACACCTGGCACACCAGGCCAACCCATTGAAGCAGCTTGGATCGGGGCCATTCGTTGCAGATGCCCATTTTCCTGAAAGTAGAGGAAATATGATAAGATATCGTTGTCAACATCTAACATTAATAGAAAGCAAAAACTGATTAGCTTTTCACAAAGAAATGCATTTACTTCTTAACAAAGATTTGATATCTAAATAATAGATCCACAAACCAAATCTACCAAAAAGAAGATAGATGAAGAATCATAGTAGTCCTTCCCAAAAGCCAGAGAACTTAAAGTCCCCTGTTTCTTTATGAGCAACAGTAGATCAGACCACTTATGAGGGAAAATCTTAACTAGATTGCCATGCATAATGGGTTCTATAAATAGGGCATCCTGGATTCATGAATACCTTGACCTTTAGGGGCAGGACAAGATCTTACTAATAGACTTAAGGCAGATTATAAAGTTAGAACAGCACAGTGATGGCAACATAAAATATTGCATCTCAAGTACAGTTCTCAATTCTGAAAAAGGACAATTTGGTAGTCAAATATCTCATATAAGGCCCCATAATGGGAAATTGATCAAATTTGATCCAATTCTGATACAGTCATGGATTCAAAACTGGAACCATCACATTGTTGGCAGCCCAATTATATTTTAGGATGCTCAAGCCGAAAATCACCTTTCCCTTTTTATTCCTTAAACAGGAAATATTGGGAAGAGGTGTTGAAAGAAAAAGTTTTGTTCAAGTTCTTGTCAGTGGTAAAAAAGAATGAATAGATAGTAGACACTAATAATTAGGTGCAAGTAGCTTCCATAACTCAAAGATATTCAACAAAATGGAGTTTTTTAAGTCAAAGTAAGACCCACTGCTAGTTATTCTTTAAGTAACTGGTAGTCTAAAGACTTTGATGGTACTCCAATAACAGCATCAAATGTTCAATATTCACCACAATGATGGCATAATTGATAATTTAATATTGATTACCTTGGTAAAATTTCAATGTATTTCAAGAAAAACTTCCATGGTATACGTGGAACAATAGTGTTACCTCAGTTTGCATCAAAGACCATCTCTCCAAATCCATTTGTCTCCCATTGGGAGGTTGAGCTAAGGGCCTAAAATGACTTTCATGGTCAAATCTTTCATGTTCAATAAAACTCTGATTAAAACCTGATACACGTTTGATTTCTGCAGTGACATGAGGGGGAAAGTAAGGAAGCAGTTCAGTTAGTAAAAAGTTAAATGCACCAAGAATGTTAGTCCACACATCAACAAGTCCTAACAAAATTGACTTTTGAAGAACTCAAAACCATGATTTAAATCAATGTATATAGTAAGATTTCTATCCATCTCCCTATCTCCTATTAACGCTGCAAACATTCAACCAATTACCAAATGTTTCTAACTTTTATTGCCCACACAAGTTGATGATGCAACCAACAATCCACAGAAGGAACCGTATAATGCAGAAAATAGTAAACTGAAAATCTTGTAACCTTGATTAAGAAGCCTGGAGCATAATGGTAGAATTTGCATAAAAGGGACCAATTTCTGTTTCTCTGCTATCAACTCAGCCAAATATCTGCAATAAAATCCCAAGTAAATTATGTATGATAACTTGAGATTACATTTAAAAAAAAAAAGCTTGAAAATTTAGTTTTAACCGTAAGATCAACATTGAAAACAACAATAATAATTTGATTGACAGTAATCTACATCCCATGAGAAAAGGAACACATATATGATCTTGACAAATACACAATTCTATACATCTTTTCATTTTCAATGATAAATCCAATACCAAAAAAAGTATTGCTCCTCCAACGTGTTTGAGCAAAAGGGTAGAAAAGAAAACCATGCCAAGAGAAGAGAATAAGAATTTTTTTTTTTTTTTTAAAGTCCACTACTCGTGAAAGAAACCACATCAGAAACCACGAAACCAAATCCCAGATAACAAACAAATCTGAGAATTTGCACCAATAATCATAAACCCATCTGGATTAAAACACAGGCAGTTAAGAAGATTAACCAAAACAGATTTCAATTAAACATGAGGTCTGCTCAGTCAAAGTGAGTAAAAAACTGACCTTTCACGATCTGTGGGGATAGAAGAGGGCCTATGAGGAGAAGCATGGACTCCAGATATAGGGTACTGGAAGAAACTCCCAGGTGGGATTCTCTCTCCCATCTCATACACTCAACTGCATCATTAACCATTCCAAATCTCTCAGAAGTCAAATACCCATCAACAGAAACTTCGAAACGGTCATACAGACGTACACGAAAAGAAAACTTACTGATGAAGAAGAAAGAGCGGAGAAAGGCAGTGGCGAGCGGAGCAGAGATGCAAGAGTCTTGCAGCAGCCCTCAATTATTTGGGTAAAAATTCCATGCCTTAAGGCCCGATACTACTTCCAGAGGATCCCAC